TGGTCATGATAATCGGGTGCAGGCGGCTGCGGCGTTGCTTGCTGAGTGTAGGTAGCTGCAACGCTCTTGGTTGTTTGCGGCCCCGGATGCCCCGAGGCTGCCCCATTTTGGTTGTTGGGGTCCGGACTTGAAGGTGGGGGTCGCTTCGGCTCTGGCTCCTTCCGCTCCTTGTCCTCCCCCTTCTGCTCTACACACTTCCTCCCTTGCTTCCTGCTCCGAACCTTAGGCGGGTTTCGGGGTTGGGACGGGGCCTGGTTGGGTTGAGACTCGGGCGGTCTTGGGGGTTTTCCGCTTCCGGGACGGCGGCAGAGGCATTCGAGTCGGTTCCTCCAGCCGTGCCGTATGGGTCTGACCAGTGGGCTCCCTCCCTTAGTGTTTGCACAGCTGCCCCGGCTTTTCCTTGTCTAGCTGGGGCTTTCGGGGTGCGGCTCGGCCCCGGGTCATGCCGTCGAGGTTCCCGGGGTTGGGGAGGGGTTGCCTGGGGGGCCTCGGCCCCGTTTGCCCCTCTCGAGTCTTTGTACCCTTGGTGAGGGGCTGGCAGTACTTCAGAGTGGGGTTGTTCCTTCCCCCTCTGTGTTCCTGTTGTTTTCGGGTATTCCCCTCCCTGGGCTCGGTTCCGTGTTCCTTCAGGGTTCGTCGGTCCCGTCGTTCCTGGGGGTTTGTTTCGCCCCCTTTTTTCTTCCCCTTTTCACTCTTCCGTTGCGATACTGTTCCCTTCGTATCGTTGTCCCTGCGTGTCCCTTGATCAAGGGTGCTTGTCGTGGTTCTTGTTGGTTCGCGAGTCTCTTAGTACCTTTCAATATTATTGGAACATCTGTTGACTTCCGATGTGGTTTCCCTCTGGTCTTTTGTCAGCCTCGTTGGTTACCTTCCGTCCTCTGTTTTCTTTCGCTTTGTTTTCGTGTCGTCTCTACTTCCAGTTTCGGAGTTCTTTGTCTTCGTTACGCACACCTTCCAGGTGTTTGTATGAAGTGTTTGTACGTTGTGTGTGTGTACGATGTGTGTGTCCGCCTGTTGTATGAGCCACTCCACCCGGTGGATGGGTGGTGTGTTTCGTACCTCGTGCGCTGGGGCCGGGGTGTGCGTTTTTGTTTATGGGCGGTATGCTTGTGTGTTCGGATTGTTTCTCGCGTTTTCTACGGTTTCTTGCTCATTTTCTCCCTCCAATCGTTGCCCTCTGGGTTTATATCTGGGGGCGTCGCTTTGTTCTTCCACTGCTTCTGGGTGTGGGATGGCTCGGCGTGGCGCCTCCTCCTCCCCCTCTGTCCTGTTCAGTCTTCTGCGGGGCGCATGCCTCTGGACGTGTTTCTCCTTAGACTTCCGCATTTTATTCAGGTAACGGTACATACCATGCCTACTGCCTCTAGTATGCATGGCTTTCGGGCGCACCATTAGCGCTGCTCCTGGTATGTTACTTGGCTCACCTGTGTTGTGGCACGTTCGTGTGTCTGCTCTGTAAGGGAGATTGTCATGTCTGGCGCCTCTGTCGGCCAGGTGTGCTGGTTCTCGCTTTTTGGTGGGGTGCTTACCTAGTTGTGTTTGCGGGGGTTGAGCTCTGGCTCTTGGGCCACGCCTCTCCTGTCAGTTGACGGTTGTGTGGTTTCCTGAGCCTCCTGGGTTCTGTCTTCTCTGCGTTTGCTCCTGTGGGTGGAGTATGCCTCCACCACATAGCTTCCTAGTGCTTTCCGCTTCCTTTTCCATCTGACGTTGATTGGGTTCTTTTTCGTCTGTGGCTCCTTTGGGTGCTGGGCTTCCTCCTGTGTCCCTTTGTGCATACGGACATAGGAACAGAGGAACTGCAGGGGGCCTCTTGGCCCGACCGAGGCTGCTCCTATTTCTTACCATCCATTCCCACTCCTATGCATGTCCAACCCGCGCTTGCACCAATCGTGGGGCCCCTCCACCACATTACGCGGTAATTGGTTCCGCTAATCGATGACCCTGTTACCGTGCTGGTATTTCCTCCGGTCTTTCCTGAATCTACACTTTTCCCTTTTATGCCCATTGTTTCATATCCGAAATGTGCCGCAAGGGTGGCGTGTGCCACTGTCCCTGTTCTATTGTTTCGTTAACTTTGGTGACTATACACACAAACACTAAAAGACTACATATATTTTGTTGCGTATACAGTAGTATGCAAGTGGTACTTTGGCGGGCAGTGGTGCGAGTGCAGCGCACTGAGAGTAGGTACAGTATCTCGCAAGTGTCTGTTCTAGTCCACACTTGCTGGTAGACTGGATGCTGTATTATTTGCTACTCTGCTGCTTATATGCTCTGGCAACACCTCACCGTTCTCCACAGGTTGGCAGAAATTTTCCCTGGAGGTAAGGAAAGGTTTGAGTTCTATAATTGGTGCTACGTAGAGCTTTGCTTCTTTCGTTAAGCTAATGCGTTTGGAGTGAGTATATTATTGGGGTAATCTACTCTCTACACCACCCTGGTCACTGCTCTTGCCTGGTTTCCTCTTCCCCGCTTGGTGGGGTTCTGTCGCTGGCTCCTAACTGGGGTGTTTGGTGTGGTGTGTTGTTTGGATGCCTTGCGTGTGTCTTCAGTGACTCCTTTGTCCCTATCTTTTGCTCTTTGTTGTCCTGTGGGGCTCTGCCCCATGTTTCAGTGCTTTTAGTTTCGTTGTTGGTACCTGGGTCTTTTCCCTATCTGGACACTCATTCCTTGCCTATCTTCAGTGTCTGGCTGCACCCTGCTGTGCATGAGGTCCCTCAGGTATGTACGCCCTCCTCTACACATTTTGTGGTTGGTCGTGTGGTTTACTTCCCGGCTGCTCCTTGGTCCGTATTCGAGGTTTTCCTTACCTGTTTCCGTTTTTCCTCCTCCTATGCTACACTTGTTTGTGTATCGGGGTCGGTGCTTCTTGACTACCCTGATGTTGGGTGCTCGGGTGGGCCTCTGTCCATGTTCAGTTCCCTGCTTTTGGACTTCTCCGGTGTTCCGGTTTGGTACTGAGTTCATGCACTTTTTTTTTTTTTTTTTTTTTTGAGATATATACAAGAGTTGTTACATTCTTGTACAGCCACTAGTACGCATAGCGTTTCGGGCAAGTCCTTAATCCTATGGTCCCTGGAATACGATCCCCTGCCGCGAAGAATCGTTTTTTCATCCAAGCACACATTTTACTGTTGCGTTAAAAAGAGGCTACAGTTAAGGAATTGCGCCCAGTAAATCCTCCCTGGCCAGGATACGAACCCATGACATAGCGCTCGCGGAACGCCAGGCGAGTGTCTTACCACTACACCACGAAGACTGCGTCTGTGTGACTTACTGCTGGCTTTGGTGTTGCTCTGTCTTTGGGGGGTGGTGGCCTTTCGGTCTGCCGCTCCTGCCTTCCTGGTTCCTTTTCTTGGACCCGGTAGCTGGGTTTCAGTACTGGCTCCGGTTTTTCTTTGTTCCTTTTCCGGAACGGGTGTGTTTGCTTTCCTGCGGTTCACGTCCTGGGTAGTTCTCCTCTTGGATGCTTCAGGGACACATGCATCATTCTTCCCTGCTGGAGCTGGTTACGTTGCTCCTTTGGGTTGCGGAGGCGCTGTTTTTCAATCCGCGTTTTGCGCTTTCGTTCGTGATGCTAGTTTCTTGGTTGTGTCGGCACTGGTTGGTTCATTATTGGTCTCCCACCTGTGTGTTTCGTCTTGGAGGCGGTGTGTGGTTTTTCCTGGAGGTCCCTCCGGTTTCCCTATCTCTGCGAAGGGTCCTTCGGTCTTTGATAGAGTTGGCTTGTCTTCCCTTCGGAGTTGTTCCGCGACCATCGTCTGGGATCGTGTCCTGTCACATCTTATTGGGTGGGGCTGGCGGAGCCGCTCCTGCTTGCGTTCAGGTTGCGGTTCCTTCTGCTCCGTTCCACTTGCTGTCCTGGGCGTTGTTCCCCTCTGGCCTGCTCTTGAGTTCTGGTGCCGTCCTGGTAGTTGGTCTGGGGTGCCTATTTTCTTCTCGTTTTGGTCCTTGTTTTGTCTGTGGTCTTGGGTTTTTAGGTCAGGGCACGTGGCATCGGCCTCCAGGTTCCTTCCCTGTTTTCCTTATCTGTGGTGAGGTAGCTCCAGGGAGCCGAAGGGGCTCCCCCCAGAAAACCAGCGTTGAATGTAATGAAACGTCATTTTCTGGGTGAGTCCCGGAGGCTCCCTGGCATCCCTCCCTCCCTTCGGTCGGCGGCATTTTTCGCGTATTTTGACATCCAGCCTAAGAACTGCCAGTTGGATCGCTGGCGTCGAGGGTCTGGGGCTCCCCCTTCCCCCTCCCGGGAAGAGGGGGTTGCGCAGACGGTGGCGCGGTGACGTGATGATGTCATGCTAGTTTTATAATTTTGTTTGGGGAGTTCTGTCCACTCATTTGGCTTTCGGTAGCAATATTTTCACCAGAATAGGGGCTTGTTTAGGGGCGCCTACCTTTCTGGGTGCCTATCCCGGTCGATGGCAGACATAGAATGCTCCCAACCACATGGGGATTTCTATGGGCCATTGCTCCTCGTGCCTCTCTGAGGGGGCCAGGTTCTGGCTCGTGGTCCCCGGTAGGCAAGAACTCCTAGCACTTTGATGGCAGAAAGTTATACATATCCATTCAGCCGGGAATAGCTCCGGGGAGCCTCCGGGACTCACCCAGAAAATGGCATTTCATTACATTCAACGCTGTTTTTTTGCGAATTAAAAAATGAATATTCTATATAAATATATATGTAAGTTAATATATTTGGGTGTGGAACAGATTAATTCAATTTATGTTTTTTCTTATGGGGAAATTTGATTCGGTGTACATATATTCAGGTTATGTTGCACCTCTTGGAATGGATTAAATTCGTACTCTGAGGTTCCACTGTACTATCATTTTAAAAGTACAGTATGGGCTGTTACAGTGTTAGGTAAATTATATAATGTCCCATTAGGGTCTATAAATATTACACAGGGCAGTTTTTAGTTGAGTGAATACTGTGCCTGAAGCCTGTAATTAATTGATAATCAACAATTATTTCATATATCTTTATAAATTCATTTTTTCAGCATCCTGATATGTATGAGAGAGCTGTACTCAGAAAACCAGTAGGAAAAACATTTGGTGCCAGAGTAGATTTGTGGTCTATAGGTAAGTCTTAAATGTTACAATAGTTAATATCTTGTGCATGTCTCCACACATATATACTGACTACTCACTAATTCAGATCATATGGAAAGGATCCGTATCACAGTTATATAGCGATCCAATCTACCCTATTTTAGTTGTATGATGCTCTCCATATTTTACTTCTAATCTGGGAGAGCTGCTTCAGTAGCTCCCTCAACTAAGTCCCTTAGATTATTTTAGGGAATCACATCTGAAGCCTCCTGGCCTCCCTGCTCCCTGTGGACAAGCCATGTCTCAGGTCTCCCTCTCCCTCCTTTGGACTCAGGGATTTGGTCTGGTTTATATATCTGATCTTGGTATGAATGCTTGACCTACATCTGTGCCTGATGCAGTTTTTTTTATTGTTGTTGCCTGTGGTGGCTAGTTTATTTATTGTTCACTTCATACTTGTCCTGCCTGCCTTTCCTCCCTTGCAACACCTTCATCTCCACTCTGAGTTTGGGGCTTTTGGAGGGACACTGCACTTTGTGGGTATTTGTGAGATGTCTTAGGTAATTACTTAAGTAATTACTTAACCCCTTAACTGCGTTGCCTCCAAATGTGACACCCCCGCAGTGCGCAGGAAATAAATTCTCTGGAAAAAATTCTTTTTTCTTTTTAAAGTGTCAAAAACCATTCCCTCAGTTCGTATGTAAAAAAAAAAGTCGAAATTGTACTTACTTTGGCTGCTATGGGGTCCGGAAGTTGGGGCGTGACGTCATCATTCCCCGTGTGCCAGTGCTGTAAGCTCTCGGGGGCGGTGGGGCTCTTGGGGGCGGTGGGGCGTTCGGGGCGGGGCGCGCGAGTTGCCGCGAATATATTTTCGTTCATTTTTTGCGCACCTTTCCAAATACATTTTCATTGTTTTTATGTGCCAATCCAATGTATAATGAACACGTACACTATAATATCGCAGTACAACATCCGTACTGTCCGTAGACACTGTGTAACGTGCATGAAACTTGTGTACACATATGCAGCACATATTTACTATGTATCATGCTAATTTGTGTATATATACAATCTATTTACACACTATACACTGTCACACACTATATACATTCACCATCAACACATTGAGAACACCGCGTAGCAGCTGCTTCGTATGGGCCAATAGCAGCTGCCCCGTATGGGCCAATAGCAGCTGCCCCGTATGGGCCAATAGCAGCTGCCCCGTATGGGCCAATAGCAGCTGCCCCGTATGGGCCAATAGCAGCTGCCCCGTATGGGCCAATAGCAGCTGCCCCGTATGGGCCAATAGCAGCTGCCCCGTATGGGCCAATAGCAGCTGCCTCGTATGGGCCAATAGCAGCTGCCTCGTGTGGGCCAATAGCAGCTGCCTCGTGTGGGCCAATAGCAGCTGCCTCGTGTGGGCCAATAGCAGCTGCCTCGTGTGGGCCAATAGCAGCTGCCTCGTATGGGCCAATAGGAGCATTTGGCCATGAACACATTCAGAACACCTCGAGTGAGAGCAGCCACACCCAGCCAGTCTCCCTCACTCCAACATCTTACTCGCCAACATTGCTCCTCCCACCATATTGTTATAGTTCTTATTACACATGTTCTATATACCTATCTACATGTTTTATTTACCAGAACTATGCAAGTAAGCCGGTATTGTGTCCAAACAGTACAGTTGCCACCATACACTGCATGAAAAATCACACAGCAGACGACGCTACGATTACGTCACCTCCCTCACCAAAATAGCTCCTCTCAACATTCTCCTGTTGCTGTTCTTATACTATATACACACACTATATATACCCATGTACATATGTGTTGCCCATAGCAAACCACTAAGCTAGTATGGTGAGCAAAACAAGAGTGGCAGCCACACACACAGAATGAGGCTACCTCAATTCTCGCCCTCCCTCCCTCATCAAAATTCCTCCTTCCACAATACTACGCACAACGCTAATTATAACCACAATCCTGGTCACTAATTCCTGTAAATGAATAATTGACTACACGTTTATTTTGAAAAGGAACCTAAGAAATCATTTGAAGATTCCTAGATGAACGAAATAATGCTGTGGTGCTGTGGCTACGCATTGCATACTTTATTCCCAAAAAGACATGGTCACTTTTACCCAAGGGAGGAAGGTACTGAATGTCAAATATTTCTTCCTCCTTCCTGGTAAATATCAAATCTAGCATGGAGGGGACGTCCCCTTCCCTCATCCTCGTAGCTTGTTTAACATGTTGATACAAGAATGTTTCCAGGATGAGGTCTACAAATTTACAGGTCCAGAAATCTTCTGTTTTAGCTTCACATGCTTCCCAGTCTATGGATTTCAAGTTGAAGTCGCCAACTATCAGCAGTCGTGAACTATCGTTATCCGCTCTCGCTATGCTCTCTCTCATTATTGTTATAAGACCTTCTCGTTTACTATCTAGCTCCTCCTTTGACCATGTGCTGCTTAACGGTGGACTATATGCATTTTTGATCATTAGTTTATCATCCTCATGGCAGGTCTCTAGTGCTATTATGTCAACTTCTTGTGGATTGGCAGTCACTATTTCGTTCACCTTTAGGTGTTCTTTCACCAGCACAGCAACGCCACCGCCTTTCCTGATTTTTCTGTCCCGTCTCCAAATTGAGTAGCCCCTTGGGAATATGACCTCATTTAAAATAGCATCTTCAAGTTTTGTCTCCGTGAGTGCAACAATGTCTGGTGTCTGCAGCTGTATTATATCACTTAACTCCAGTATCTTTGATCTTACTCCATCTATGTTGGTGTATGCAATCTTCAGGAACTTGTTCCCCCTCTTCTTATTTTTCACTCCCCCTTTCTCTAATGATTTTGTTGGTTTGCCTTTATGTACCACTTTACTGGCCTGCCTACCCCTATCACTTTGTAGAAAAAAGAATTGATTTCTTCTTCATTCCTGCTCTCATTTAAACGTTTTGCCTCGGCGAGGTTCAGTTTCAGCTTCTCTCTATCTTCTTTTGAAAGATCTCGTCTTAACGACCACACTTTCCCATCCTCATCACTTTGTAATTTTCTAGCATTCCTTAATACTTCTTCCATTTGTTTGGTACCATTTAGGGTGATCCTCAAAGGTCGATCATTCCCTTTTACATACCTGCCTATTCTCCTGTAGTCGCAGACATTCTCTATGGTTGTAAGACCTTCCACGAGGCCAACAATTTTATCTACTACTTTTTCTTCTTCTACAGCTCTTTCTGACCTAGATGTTATCTCCTTTTCCTTGCAGCCAAAAATGATCAGGGACTTACTCCGATCAACTGTGTTTTGCACCAACTTCGGGTTAGATGCCAATTCTTTCCTCACTTCTAGCCTAATGTTTTTTATCTTGGTTGCTGCAGTGTTTGACTTCCTTTACTGCTTCTTCTATTTTTTCCTTCTCCTTGGCCACTTGTGCATAAGTGAGTTGCATATCTTTCTTGTGTTCTATTCCCTGTGTAACTTCCTCCATCTGTGCTGACAAAAGCTGTTTCTCCTGTTGAAATTCCTTACCTAACCTGTTATTTATGCTTTCTTCGATTTCACCTCCTTCACTATGTGCCTGCTATAAAGTTTTTGTGCACACCTGCACAAAAACTGCACACACAAACTGAGAATTGCACACTTGTACAATTCTCTGATTGTGCCTATGGCACAAAAGGGCCTGATGGCTGAGTAGACAGAGCTCGGCATTCATAGTCCTAATGTTCCATGTTTAATCCCTGGTGGAGGCGGAAACAAATGGGCAGTTTCTTTCACCCTGATGAAAGAAACCTAGCAGTAAATAGGTTCCTGGGAGTTAGACAGCATGAACAGCTGAAGGCGGGACCCCAGCCGCAGCAACACGTCTGGAGGGAAAGACAAGGAGCGGCCCAAGAGCCCTAAACAAGGCCCAGCCAGGTCCAAATCCGGGATGGAAACAGATGGAATGGCCTCCAGAAACCAAACCCGGCGATCTAGAAAGAACCACACCCCTGGCGAGCAGACAAGCTGACCGACTGGGAGCCCACACCAGCCAGTCGTCGAGGTAGGCCAGACACCGAATCCCAAGCAGACGCAGACAGGACACCAAGATCCTGTAAAGATGCAAAAATACACCAAAATACAATTACAATTGTATTTTTGTAATTGTAGCAATTACAAAATAGGGAAGGCAACAAAAGCGGCAAGCCTGAAGCCCCACTACCAACTGTGCCAGTCCCGGAAAACTGGAGAGAAACGTGCCAAGAATTGACCTGGAGGTCCAGGGTCACCATCCAGGCACTGGACAGGAGACAACAGTCCTCTGATGAGGGCATAGAATCCAGGGCGCAGACTGGAGAAGTCCAGAAGAACCATAGATTCGCCAGGCCCGTGTCTGCATAGAGCAGACGGGAACCCCAGAAGGATGGGGCGGATCGACCACGTCCAATACACCCACTAAGATGACATGACGAAGCACAGGGGAAACTGCCCACCCTGGCCAGCCCTGAACCCCCCAAAGGGGGAGAAGTCGTCCACCGCCGCCTCCAGAGGCCAGAAGACAACCAAAAGCGCCCACTAACTGCGGGACCATGCAAGAGTCAACAGAGCAAGCTGCTCCCCCAGCGCCCCATCAACAGAGAAGGGACCAGAGCCCCTTCCGAAAGAAAAAGTACACATACACATATATACAAGATATGTTACACACACGTGTGTATGCACATACAAGATATGTTACACACACGTGTGTATGCACATACACATGTGCACACACACACAGTGTACCCATGTACATGTGTGTACACACATACACGTGAAAAGAAAATTACAAGCAGCTGACCAGTGGGCAGAGAGCACCATGCCGGCCAGGCGAAGAAGTCACAAAACTGCATCAAAAGGCCTACTTCGACAACAAAACCTCAAAGTCCCAGCACGACCACAAGACGTGCCAAGACCCAAAAAGATCAGACTGCAAGCCAGGAAGACCCCGGAACTCCAGAAGGCAGAACCGGGTCACACACGAGGAAACAAAGCCCCCAGAACCCACAA